TTTCTCTGTGTGTATGTGTGTACAAGCTTCCTGATTGTATGTTAGCAGACCTCATAAAATTACCAAGATTGTTATAAGGTATTATAATAGTGAAGCACTTTTAAAACATTAAACTAGACTTACATGCCTACAATCTTTATATATAATCATTTTTTTGCAAGTGAAGTTTATTTTTATTGAATTTATTGGGGTGACACTGGTTAACAAAATTACACAGGTTTCAGGTTCACAATTCTATAACACATCTTCACTGTATTGTGTGTTCACCAGCCTAAGTTAAGTCTCATCCACCATTTTTTATGTCCTCTATCCCCTCTTCCAGCACCCTCCGCAAGTGCCAAAAGTTTTTGCTACTGTTTTGAAATAACAAATATAAAACATTAATATAAAATAAAGTCAGATTCAAAAATGATGGCATGTTAGTTTATGCTGTTAATCATTTGGTTCATTCTAATGCCTGATGTTAGAGTGGAGGACAAGTGGTGGAAAGCAGGACTTTCCACTGGAGACTTCCAATGTCATGGGTATCCCTGGTAGCTTTTTATGTTGTTTTCAAAGGGCAAAGTATGCCTCATTGTTGCTGAAACTTAAGAGATTTCATTGAAATAATTTAGTATTTTATTTGGAGTCTCTCAGCCCTTTCCATGAGTTTCTCTGATCAAAAGAAGTAATACTTCTGCCCTGGACAGTGTGGCTCAATTGATTTGGTGCGTCATTCTGTGCACCAAAGGGCCACCAGTTCAGTTCCCCGTCAGGGCACATGTCCAGGTTGTAGACTTGATGCTGGGTAGGGGTTTATGCAGGAGTCAGCCAATTCGTGAGATGTTCTCACATCAATGCTTCTCTCTCTCTCTCTCTCTCTCCCTCTCTACCTCCCTCCCTCCATCCCTCCCTCCGTGTCCCTTCCTCACTCTCTCTAAGATCAATTGAAAAAGTAATATTTCTATAGGATATCGCTAAAATAATACTAATTTGGAAATCATAATTGTATTCTCTATAGCTCAAAAATATTTATCACTATTTTCTATCAACTTTTTTTCTAGAATACATCAAGAGTACAGTATTTGGTTTCATATATTTAGTAAAAGTTCATTTCTCTAGAGTGGCATTCTTTGGCACATAAAACAATTAAGAGAAATCATTTTGGGGGATTTTTGTTTGTTTATTTCTATTCTTAAATCACTGCAGTTAGATTTTTTTGTTTTTGTGTTAATCCTCACCTGAGGATATGTTTTCTATTGATTTTTAGAGAGAGTGGGAAGGAGGGAGGGAGGGGGAAAGAAACATCAATATGAAAGAGACACTTCGATTGGTTGCCTCCCACATGAGCCATGACTGTCAGGGATGGAAACTGTAGCCCAGGCACATGCCCTTGACTGGAAATCCCACCCTGAGACCCTTCGGTGTATGGGCCACATGGGACAGGGCTGGAGTTAGAATTCTGCAGCCACCTCCAATGGGCAATTTTACTCTGGGTGGGAAGTAAGTTTTCGGTATGCTGATAATCAGTAAACAATGGGATTGTCTCTGTTAAATATTACTAGTGCTTCTAATTATTTTTAGAAGCCACAAGCTGTGACTGACAAGTGAGAGTAGAGATACTTAGAACAACTTCGCTTCAGTGTCAACAACTCTCCGGTTACCCGCTTTAATGAGTGTTTTATTAGACTGTTTCTGGAGCCTGGATCAACTATAAATAAGCTGAGCTAGCCCAGCCAGCGTGGCTCAGTGGTTGAGCATTGGCTTATAAATCAGGAGGTGACGGTTCAATTGGTTCAATTCCCAGTCGGCACGGGCCCGAGTTGCGGGCTCTATCCCCAATAGAACTGACCTGGTGACCCTTTGGTGCACAGAATGACGCACCAAATCAATTGAGCCACACTGTCCAGGGCAGAAGTATTACTTCTTTTGATCAGAGAAACTCATGGAAAGGGCTGAGAGACTCCAAATAAAATACTAAATTATTGCAATGAAATCTCTTAAGATTTCAAGAGGCAGCTGATTGATGATTCTCTTATCACTGATGTTTCTATCTCTCCCTCCTCTCTGAAATCAATAAAAATACATTTTTTAATAAATAAGCAGAGCTATTAGTAAATGATGTTTCTATATTGTTTGTTTTATATATACACATATATATAGAGAGAGATTTTTTTTAAAAATTTGTCTTTATTGTTGAACGTATTACAGGTGTCTCCCTTTTTTCCCCAGTGACCCCTCCACCTGGCACCCACCCCTCCCAGGCGTTCACTACACTATTGTCTGTGTCCATGCATTTAAGTTTCCCAGTTAATCTCTCCCCACTCTCCTACCTTCCCTCAAATTCATCCGTCTGTTCCATGCTTCTGTCTCTGGATCTGTTTTGTCGGACAGTTTATTTTTTTCATTAGATTCTACATATAAATGAGATCATGTGATATTTATATGACTCTGGTTGGTTTATTTAGCTTAGCATAATATTTTTCTTATTGAGAAGTCAGTAAAGAAAAGTAAATACAGAATAGAGATATTTATTTCCGAATAAGTTGATTTTTGAAAGTGTTTTTTAAAAAGTAATGTATTTCTATATTTAGAGATTAAAGTGCCAATTAGGGGAAAAAAAAAAAAAAAAGCAGCAGCAGCATATTATAACTTAGATATGTAGGCTATTATTTCATTAGGTTACATTTGCCAGGGTAAATAGGTCTTGGGGTTTCAGCCCATCCTACTGAGGCTGCTTCCGTTCTCTTTCCCCCCCACAGCTCCAATGTCTTACACCCAGAGCTACTACATTTTTAGAAAGAAGAGGGGCTAAATATATCTTTCATGCTTCTCCTTCTTCTCCTTCATTTAAATTATTACTAAAATCAACTCTTCTACAACTTCATCTTATGTTTCATGTAATGAAATGCTTTTAATAAATATGCTACCTGTTTTGATTTGGCTTTTTTTTTCCCCCTCGAAGGGCTGCAAACATGTAACTACCTTCATCTGGGCGTTATGTTTGGCAAATAGGGGACCTCAAAACGGATAGTTTGAGGACTTGAGAAGGCTCCGAGAGTATCAGCAGGTGTGGGCTGTATAAGCTATCTCCTTTACTTGAGATAGTTGTCAGCTAAATGCCTTAGTTCAGGCTTATTCTTGCCTGGCAAGTCCTGAGACCCCATTTGGGAATTCTTCCTCTCTTTACCTCCTCTTGCAAAAAAACACTAAAGCTTTTGGGATCAGTTTACAAAAACAGGAACACTATCTTGCTGGTATTTTCTTCTATTTCTTGATAAAAGAGAAAGCAAAAAAGTATATCCCAATACTGAAATGTAATCATTTACCTAAAAATCTTTGACAATATTTACAAAGACAATTTTTTCCATATTAAAGTAATTTTCTGAAGAGCAGAGTAAAAACACACACAAAAAAATCTAAACAATTTAAACACTTTGTTCCTTTTTTTAAATATATATTTTATTGATTTTTTTTACAGAGAGGAAGAGAGAGGGATAGAGAGTTGGAAACATTGGTGAGAGAGAACCATCGACCAGCTGCCTCCTGCACTCCCCCTACTGAGGATGTGCCCACAACCAAGGTACGTGCCCTTCAGTCCACAGGCTGACACTATCCACTGAGCCATACCAGTCTCGGCTAACACTTTGTTTCTTCATTCCCAAATATAGAAAGATTTCCATGGGAATATAGGCAGAGCTGAAGTGATCATTTGAGAAAGTTTAACTGATAATTCCTCTAAAATTAGTCTATAGCAAATGTATTCTTGATTTTGTTTTCTAGTATCATATGATCTTTTAGTACCTTCAAGTTATTTATTAGTAGAAACTTTTGTCATACTGTGTTTCCAAAATTTCACATATCATTTTTAAAAATACTATATATATATATATATATATTTGTTTTTAGAGAGAAAGAGAGATAAACATTGTTGTGAGAGTAGAACTTTGATCATTGACCGATTACCTCCTGCACAGCCCCACTGGGGATCAAGTCCACAACCTGGGCATGTGCCCAGACCTATCATACTGGCAACCTTTTGGTGCACCGGTCCAACCAACTGAGCCACATTGGACAGGGCTCAAATATCATTTTTAAATTATCTTAAGGTCAATTCAAGGTGTCATCCAGGTTACATTGTCCCAAACCAGCAGGTAGTCTCACAGTGAGTTGTGGGGTCACTGTAGTTTTTGTTTGTTTGTTTGTTTGTTTGTTTTTAATATATTTTATTGATTTTTCACAGAGAGGAAGAGAGAGGGACAGAGAGTTAGAAACATCGATGAGAGAGAACCATCAACCAGCTGCCTCTTGAACACCTCCCACTGGGGATATGCCCGCAACCAAGGTACATGCCTTTGACTGGAATTGAACCTGAGACCTTTCAGTCCACAGGCTGACACTCTATCCACTGAGCCAAACCGGTTTCGGCGGCCACTTGTAGTTTTGCCAGTTCTAGGAGTGGGCACCGCCTGCACTAGTGTCCTGGAACAGCATCAGGAATATCTCCCTTTTGTGGTGGAGCTCCTATTGCCATGTAGAGCATTATCCACGTAGGGAAATGGAAATAGTGGAAGATCCAGCGAAAACGTTTATCACATTGGCCCTGAGTCCAATGGTTAGGCTTTTGGAAGGAGGGTTCACTGTCACTTTGATCATATCTTAGGAGCCTGGATGTTGAACCAGTACATTGCTCCAAGAGGAGTAGAGCATTCTGTGTCATTTTTAAAAATTGGGAATTCACCCTGCCGGCATGGCTCAGTTCTAAAAGTGTCATCCTGTACACCAGAAGGTGTCAGCTTCGATACCCAGTCAGGACACACACCCAGGTTTTGGGTTCGGTGGCAATCGCACGATATTTCTCTCTCTAGCACTATCTCTACCTCTCCTTCTTCTAAAAGAAATCAATTAAAAATAAAGAGATAAATCTTTCTTTAAAAAAAAAAATTGAGAATCTTTTTGCTAAATTGGTCAATATTGAGTGCAAGTTGAAAATTGGTATTTTCTCACATCTTTATGCCTAGATGATGGACCAGCCGGACTGTGCAACAAGTGAAGAAACCCCTGTGGTTGCTGGTGAACAGATTATCCAACAGTAATAATCATGAGGCCCTGCCATCATGTTTCAACTGATTTTCTGCAAAAAGAGTTTTGCTTTTAGAATTGACAATCTGAAAGAATCTTCAATGACATGCTCGCAAATATACATTTTTAAGAGCTGGTACTGTCAACTATGTCATACGTGATTAAAATACATTTGCTTTTAACTATATTAAAGTTGTGCCTTCACATTAAATATAAGGATATGGTCTGTATAACTTTCAAAATGTATTATATACAGTATATTTTTCTAAAAAAAAAGGTCTTTATCCATCCCTGTATTTTTCTGACTGAAACCTATTTCTTTTCAACTCTAGTTAAAAGTATTTCTGCCCAAGTGAATTTCTGAACAGATTTTACTGAAAAAAAATTATGAAAATTTTGTGCTCTCTAGAAATTTGATTAAGATCATGCAAGAAGGAAGTTGCATAATGAAATTCCAGAAACTGCAGAAGTTAAAAAAAATATAATCTGGGAGTATGTTTATAGCATACGTTTTTTTTAAAAAAAAAATTCATTCCTTTTTTAATCTTGAGAACCTGAATTGCTTCAAATTGCTGTTTTACGTTACAATATTTTTCCCACTATAGGGAAACCTAATATATAGAACTAGACATTAAAATGATACAAAAATGGCATCCACAGTTTTCAGTGGTTTGCTATTTCCTTGAAGATATAGCTTAAATTTCTATAGTAACTCAGTTTCACTGTGGTATTTCTGATCTCTGAAGTTTGGGCCTGTTGATGTTCAGGCTTAGTATTTTGTGTAAAATCCCTAACAATCCCCTCTCCCGCCCCTGCTCCCACCCCCCACTATCTTAATTCCTTCTCCTTTCTCCAAAGGAAACCACCGCTAACCTTTTATATTTTGGTGGAGGATGGTATACTAATTTACCAGGTGTGCTTCAGAAGAAAGAGAGACAAAAGAGGGGAGACTGGGTGTTAGGGTCATTTTAAATACGTGACAGAAGTGTGAATAAATTGTCTTGGTGCCAGACATTGATGTCTCAGTTTTCTCATCTGCAAAATGAGTAGGTTAAACCAGCGATTTTCAACCTTTTTCATCTGATGGCACACAAACCAATTACTAAAATTCTGCAGCACACTAAAAAATATATATTTGCCGTTCTGACAAAAAAAAAAATAGGTATAATTTTAATTCATCCACACTGGACAGCTGTTGTGTCAGCTGTTGTCATTTATCTATTTGACAATCTAAGGGGAAAGAGGTCTGTGCCCCTGACTAAATAGTCAGTATCTGTTGTGAAGAGTCTTGCAGCACACCAGGTGCAGCACACTGGTTGAAAATTGCTGGGTTAGACCAATGAACACTCTAGTAACTCCAGTAACTTTGGTGGGGCGGGGAGTGGGGGGGAGACAAAAAACCTCTCATTCTTTGCTTGTGACCTTGAACATTCTGGAAGTCAGAGGTCAAATTGTCTTTTTTTTTTTTTTTTTTCCCCTAAGAAATTTCCAAATAAGTAATTCCAAAGGCAGTGGAATTTTACATTCTCTAGAAATAATACACAAGATATGTTAGCCACTCTATGCTCTTTCATTCTAAAGCCAGTTCAGCTGGTTAAAATATAAACCTAATGCCTTTTAAAATGAATGAGAGCTTTGGTATTAGACCTAAATTTAGCATTTGAGGGGATTGGATGCTTTTGTTTGTTCCTTTTGCTGAGTAAGTAGCAGATAGAGAAGCTCCCTTGACAGCCCTCTGTCCACTTAATACAATTACGGATCCTTCAGTAAATGACAAGCAAGTATCTGACCAGTAAGGGTTATTCTTCATTCTGTCTCCATAATATCAAGTTTGAATTTTTTCCAAAGAATCTAATTTATTTGGCAAATGCTGATAGAACACATGAAATGTCATTTTAAAGATCCAACTATATTTTCATTTTTAATATCAATAAAATGTTTGCCAAAATACATCTTTTTTAGTAAAATTATCTGCATTCTCATCCCAGCTTTTTGATATTCAAAAGCCTCAACTTCAGCCACATTTATGAAGAATGTTAAGGAAAATTTAAATCTGTAAATATGAAATTTTAGTTCTTTGATACACATTCTACTGTATCTAACCATTAACTACCAAGGAGGTAAAATTTCCTTTCTAGTGTGCTATTAAAAAAGAAATAGGGAAATTCCTTAAGTTTCTCCATCCTCAGTGTCAACTTTACATTATACTTAAATAATTCTTCTAACAATCCCGCTGAATATATTTAGAGAAATTACAACAAAGTACAAAAATATTTTACGAGTCAAAGAGTAGAGGAGATGACAATTTGTCTTTAAAAGACTCTATTATTTCTTCCTCTCTTGCCTTCCCATCACCAGTAACTTTAAGAAGATAAATTGGTTTTTTTAACTAAATATGTCTTAAAAAACAATACTATAGCCTATATTACTTACTGAAAAAATTGCCACTTTTTAGATATTTTCTATGAACATTTTTGCAACTTATCAAACATAAATCACTAAATATCTCAAATTGTAGAGTTTTCACTTCACTTTACTTCGGCAAAGATAATTCGGTTTGTGAGGAAAATATAGCTATTCTAATACATTATATTTCATCTTGTATTTTCTTTTTAGATTAGCAATACTTTATTAGTAAAATCCACAATTTATTTCTTTTTAGAAAGAAGAAAATATTAACCCATCTGCAGTTGGCATTCATAGATTTTAGTTAAATGGCCATAGAGATTTTGTTAAAATGATACATTTATATTCAATACAAATGAGCTTTCTAGTTTTCTTTTGCTCTTTCAATTTTTTTCCTTAGATATAAGCAGACATTTTTCCATTTGACTAAAAAAGTATTTAATTTATTTGAGCTTGATCTCTAAAATTTTAGCCTGATCTCAATCAATGAGATTTCAAAAATATAGGAATTGCATTTCAAACTAGTGCAATGTACTAGTTTGAAAGGCTTTATATTTTTCTATTAATATTAACAAGGAAAAGAATTGAATTTACTCAAGAAGATGTCAAATAATAAATTCTGCAGTTTAAAATTTTTATTTTCAGTGATCGTTTTACCTGAGAGGCTAATTCTAAACAGATTGGGGCAAGAAATGTAAATAGTCAAAGTACTGAATATAAATGACTTTATGCTTACTGGAAGAAAGATACTCTGTAAATTCAAAAGATCTGAATCAAATTACTCAACTTTTTGGAATTTGAAAGAAATTGTGTAATACTCATGATTTGGATTACTGAATTTTCAGAGTAAACAAAATGAGATTGATAGAATAATATACAGGCCATATTATAGTGAAGGCCACATATTTGAACTTGTTTAATGTTTCTATACTTCAGAACAGCCTTTGTATCTATGAAAATGATCATGGGGGAAAATGATTTCTTAAAACTGAAATTTTAGAATAGTCCTGTAATAATGGCAAATAAGTAGCAACTAAAAGAAAAAAATGTAGAATGCTTAATGTTATGTGTTCCTTTAATTGGGCATAAAGTATTGTAAACATTTTTTGGAATATGGATTTTTTTTTAAATATCCAAAGTTTATCTGGTTTGCAGAACTTTCCAGTAGAACAAGTCAATGTAAATTTTGTAGTTGTTGCCTATTTTATACCTTCTGTTGTATTTTGTTTAAATGAGAACCTTTTTAAAAATACATGATTGAAGTTTTACTTCTTAGATTATTGGTTTTAGTGTGGAATCCTTTTTTTAAACACTTTGATATGGAGGTTAGTGTAAATTAATACTTTTTAACACTATTAGGCTTTATTTTTTTATGGAACATAATTTAAAATTTTTGAAGTGTTAATTTAGCAATGTTTTAAAATTCTTCATTATGTGCCAATACTGACAAGGAAACTTTTTTTAATGTATTGAATTCACTATGCCATGCAATAAACTCTATTTTAAAATAAAATTTGAATGTGTTTATTTTGAATGGTGAAAAATAATTGAAAAATGAACTAGATCACGTTCACATAATATACAAATGGTAATAATCACATATAAAATTGTGTGGTTAATTAAGTATGACAAATTATCCATAAAACCTTGATTCCATAAGTGTCATACTGGAAATTTATTTTGATATATAATAGCCATTAATAAATATTTACTGAATTCATTATAGACTTTTTTTAACTGAGGAATGATCGTACTTCTTGTGATAAATATTCATGACATTTTTAGCTTTGCTAAAATTGTTCCCACAAATTACTAAGATCCTACTGCCATCCTAATTTTTTGACTCAGATATGGTTAGCCCAGATAAGTTTCTGTAAGGTTTGGCTTGATCACATATTGTGGAAGCCCTGTTGCAGAGAAACCTTGTTTCATCCCACATATCTGGAAAGATGCATAAGAAACTGGGAAGAGTTGAAACTGGTTTGGCTCAGTGGATAGAGTGTCTACTTGTGGACTAAAAGTTCCCAGGTTCGATTCCGGTCAGGGGCATGTACCTTGATTGCAGGCACATCCTCAGTAAGGGGTGTGCAGGAGGCAGCTGATTGATGTTTCTCATTGATGTTTCTAACTATCCTCTCTTCCTCTCCATAAAAAATCAATAAAATATATTTAAAAAATAAATAAACTGGGAAGAGTGGCTGTGTCTAGAAAGGGAAGGTGTTCAAAGGCCAGGGCACAGGGTTAAGAGGGAAACATAATTTTTCACTATATACTCGTACATTTTACACTTTCTATACTATGCTTCAATTAAGACCCAAAATTTAAATTATAAAAATCTATTGAATTATTTACCTTGTTTTAGGTATCCATATTAACAGGTAGTTAAATATTAAGTTATTTGTATCATTTTCTTTTCCAGTCTCCTTGAGTCATGTGGTTGGGGAAAGTGGAGAGTCTCGGCATTCTATATACACTCCATCGAACGTCATTTTCACTGCATAACCCATGCATGCCCTCAATTGTAACTGGTGTCCTCCAGGCCACTATTTTACTCTCCAGAGAACACACCTCCAGTTTTCTGGCACAGTCATGGAGGGACATTTGCCCA